TCTTAACTGAAATAAGAGAACAATCTCAAAATACTGAGTCAATGACCCAGGAGCCATGACAGAATCTTCTTAGGATACAAGTTATTTTGCTTTTAAAGAACAATGTCAGTGCTCGATTAAGCCGAAATGCACTGAAGCTGTTCTTTATATTAAAAGCACTGCTGGAGCTTTAACCTCTTCAGACTTTGTGCTCTTTTCCATGCACCTTGTATGGAGCTGTAGCTCTTTCTCTTTCAAGGAAGATGAATTTTAGCAAAGCTTAAAGCTTTTTTTTGTGTTTTTGTAAAGACAAAAAGAGCAGGAAATTTGTGCAGTTTTGTTGCATATGAAGACTAAGTTCCATTTACAGTGAGAACTGAAGTGCAACAGCTTTTTTCTGCCTATTAGTCATGATCTTGGAAGATAAAAAGAAATGTATCTGTACTAATTTAGTCTTTGCTTTTAAACCAAGATAGCCAAAGAGAAGTAAACTGCAAAGAAATAACAAAAATAAATAAATAAATCCTGTGAAAGGAAGAAAAAAAAATCACTGGCCCCAAAAACAGATCAAATACAAGATGAGAACAGAAATCTAGGGACACATGCTCTAAATCCAGAAATGCAAAATAAAAAAAATGTGTCATGAGAGCTCCTGAGCGATTCCATTTCTGGGGCTGTTTTTTAAAAGAGCTGTTCCAGACAGACATGCGTAATTGTTCTAATTCTAACCTCATTAGGTTTTGATATATTTCATGAAAGAAAAGTAACATCCGTTGTATCTCTCAATATAGGGAGTGGTTTCCTTTAAGCACTTTCTAACTATCATGCTTACCTACACTCAGACAGATGTAGGGGGCAATTTTGGGGTTCAGTATTTTGCCCAAGGACACTTCAGCGCTAACCTTCTCATTAGCATACAGTCCCATCTGCCTCCCAAGACACGGCCGACATTCACTGGTGGTCATAACTGGCTGCATACTGTCAATGTAAATGATAAGTTCTTTTTAGACTTTTTTTTTTGTTAAAGTCAGAAAGAGTCAGGGTCCAAAAACTGTAAACAAAAAACAAAAAACAAAAAACAAAATGATGCAAGGACATAATGTTGCAAAGAGGAGTCCACATAATTTTCCAATATGCAGCACCATCTGCAGTACTGCTATGGCAGCTAGGTGTTTACAGTGTAACAAATATACTGTGTTTTTTCTGTGAGGGCTGACACACTAAAGGAAGAAGGGATTTTCTTGCACTTTCAGATTTGGATTGAAGGTTGGGCAACTGAAGCTAACTGATGTTCACTTTTAATTTATTATGTGCAGCCTGTGAGTGTTAACACAAATTGCTTACTGGTTAAAGATCAAAGGTTATACCATGGGATTTCTCAGTTAAATCACTCTATTCATTATCGGTGGAAGGAGATGAAGCAGCTTGATGGATGAATGGATTTATTCTCTTATTGTCACTTTTGATAAATTGGAAACCTGCATCAGCGATAAGCAGGTTTCAGAGTACTTAGCACCAGATGTATGAATTGGCTGGAGATCAAAGGTGAAAACAAGGAACTTGTGCAGTGGATAAGTTATCCTCCTGTCAGTCCTCTCTGGCAAATTGTTTTCCTTTTTTGTCTGTATCTCTCAATTTTACTTCCCAATAAATGTGTCTAATTTGGCTAAGAACACACACCATAGGCAGTTAATAAAGTAAGGTATATATATGCAAACACTGGAAAGCACATGAAGAAAAACTACTATTAATATTCAAACTAGCAATGAGGCAAGCTTTCAGAGTTCAGAGATGCCCATCGTCATAGAGCATGCAGCAAAACAAATCAACATTTTAAGTTGGCTTACTGATCCCTTGTGATCAAATGAAGCAAAAGCCGCCTACAACAGTGCAGAGAAACCACATAACATTTAACACAGCTCAAAGCTTTGAAAACAACAATCCTGTCAAAAAAAGCCTGTTTGCTTGGTTGATTTACAACACACACATGAGCACAGTCCTTGATGTTCACTTTTATTTTGTATTGATTGAAAACATAACAAAAAAACATAATTTCTATGATTTTATTTGCATTAAACTAGTCCTGGTTTTATTTCACAATATGTTTCTTCAGTGCTGAGAGTCAGTTACATTTTGTTTGAGTTAATAAGTGTATTTTAATATCTACACAAAGAGCTAGTGAGATACTGCAATGACACTGTGCACTTGTGCATGGTGACTGTAAATGTCCTAGTTCATAATTTTCCAGTTGAAACTACAAAAATAATACAATTGCTTAATTACTGTATGTCTATGTGAGTCTATAAGTACTCTGCTAATAGAGCAGGAGTGAGTGATTTATTTTCCACTGGACTTGCTTTCCGCTTACATTTTTACAGAAAAAGGAGTTCACTTGCTGACTCGAGAGATGGATGTGGAGATAAATGGCTCAGCCAGAGACCAGAACGAGAGAGTTGGGACATTTACCACAAATTGTGATATGGTCATGCACACACACACACATGCACGCAGCTGTCAAAACAAGTGAAGGAATAGAGGTTGTTTTGCACAAGAGGGAAAATCTATAACATCTGCTACTTTTTTGCTTATTGGGTGCATGTATACTTGCATTAGTCATTTTGTAGAGTCATAAAATCAGTTTATCACAATGTAGGGAGTCCGCTAACTATTAGTAAGGAAAAATAAGTCTCCTGTAGATGTAAATTAATTTCGGGGAGAAGGCTTGGTTTAAGGTAAGTAGTGGTTATGGTTGGGGCGAGTCTCCAGGAAGTGTGCCAGTGTCCTCTTAAGTGATGCAAACACAGCCATGTTTGCACATCTGTGCGTGTGGAAGAGTGAAGACTGGAAATCATCATACTACACTTGCTCTCACGCACTCACCCTGAAGAGAGTTGGCTAATTAAATTATGTGGCTGTCAGAATAAGGCTTTGCAGGTCTGCATTCAATTTTCACTTTTCATTTAAAAGAATTAAAAACACAATACTGACCAAACCCCAGGGACTGGTCTCTGTGTAGTGTACTTTATTCTAACTATTGTGACTAAAGCAACATTTCTAACTTAATGCTGATCTCACTACAACTGTGCAGTTGAATCAAATCTGTTAAAATAATGCAAATTATGTTAACAGAATGTAACATCATTTATAGGCTATTTCACATTAATATTCAGGGAAGACAATTATTGTACAGCTGCACCATGTCTGGCACCTGTTTTCCATTGTTAGACCTCCGATTAACAGTACAGTTAAACTTATGTTATACTATAACTTTGGACACAATAACACTGTTCCCCCAAATGCGACAGCCTAATTACTACTTGACGTAGTTGCAAAGCAATCTTGTTTATATTTCCTTCCTTGTCTTGTATTTCTGTCTTTATGATCCAAGGTGAGTGAAGTGAGCACAAGGCAGGGTCTCCATCCAACAGAAAGTTATCCGGCTATCATGGAATGGTTTGCAAAACTAAGGACATTTATCTCGTGGTCACAAAACTGGACTTCTCTCTAGATCTTTACCTTAATATGTAAAGGGCCCTTTATTCATTTTCAGATGTGATTATCTATTTTTCCATTTGTTTTTGACTGCAGTAACCGATTTAGCAGTTTTGCCAACAGTCTTTGTAAGAGACATGAGATTAAAATCTACAAGCAAGCCTCTTATACTTGATATGTTATGCTTGCAATCCTTCCAACAAACTGTCAGGAAAAAATGAGCTGCTATTGTCACACACTCCCCACTTAATCACACTTAAAATTACTGTGATAAAGGTGCAAACATGTTGTGGCTGGTGGGTCAAATCGCAGTAATCCAGCACAAATAATCACAGTTTTATAATCAGTTGTGTTTGTGGGAGTTCCAGAAAGACATTTTTTCCCTTTCTTTGACAAATAGGTTTACTTACATTTGGCACTACAAAGAAACGTGTCATACGATCTCAAATAAATTTGTAGTTTTTCTTACTTGCTGCTCTTTTTTTTTTGATTCAACCTTCACCTTTTTTGGAAATATTCCTAAAATTATTACCAGTTTCATATTTATTCTGTTTATATGTCACAGAGACTGCCTCGGTTTCCAGATAGTCTCTATGAAAACACACATTTAGATGTATTTTACACACATACTTTACAGTATGAGCTTCACCTCGTGAGAGTTGCATTTTTTTTGTCCCTCCATCTGACACCTTGACGTTTACAATATTGACCATTAACAGCTGATGAATGAACAGAGTCCACTTTAGTTAATTAATCTGAGCTGCTGCAGTCCCACTAACAGTCCACCAGCAACGTAGAATTGACTAAAATACAGATGGAGTAACATCATTTCTTTAATGTTTCTCCATACATTTAATTTTTCCTATTATACACAGTACTGGATGTGTTTTGTCCCTTTGCTTAGTGTGAAGAAAGCAGATTTATGTTGGTCGTACTATAATTTTTTTCAGCCAGTCTTGAAGAAGGCGCACAGGCTCCACACTGTATTTGCACTATTTTAAACTCTATGCAGGAGTTTGTTGAAATAGAATATCAGCAGGCACTAGAGATAAGCTTTGGTGTTGCTCAAAAGCACACACAGAAGGAATCACTGCATTGCCCTGCTGTAATCTGCATACAGAAACTGAGAGACATTGTTGGAGGACTTTTGATACCCTAAATGACTAATGAACTACAGCTTTTACTAATTTAGGCAAAATATAACAATATCACAGAACTGGTGAGATGAAATGAAATTACTCCTAGCTCTAGTGCTCACATTGTCTGCTACTGCGAGCTGGAGATGAGCAGACTTCGACAAAATAGGGTAATGTCAGGTAGGTGTATAAATCACTTTAACTTCGGGTCAGGGGTTTCCCATGTTTGATCTTGACTACACTCGCAACTATATAATCCATGTGTGTAATATGCACTGCCGACACACAGTAGGAATAGCGAAGGATTAAAATCAGATAAACATATTTGATATCTTCAACAAGGCACTAATCAGACTGCCAAGTACAGTAGTTTACAAATGTGTGCACTCCTACCAGATGAGCTTTGCTGGGGTGGTTTCCCCACCGCTTGTCAGGATGGGTGAATGTGGTGGAAACCAGTCTGATAGTCCTGTGGTGAAACTGTTTCTCAATCCTGCGTCTTAGACCTGCAAAATAAAAAAATCCCCACTTTAGCATATCACCTCAAAGAATTGAGTCCTGGAAACACGGCTTTCAAAACAAGCAGATATATTATCTAAAGAGTCTCAAACTGTAAGACAAAGACATCAGTATGTTTCATTTTTAATGATGTTTAAATAAAAAACAAATGTCTTAATTTAGTTTTCTCATTTGTTTTTTCCAAGTTCTTAGGAATTCTGGAATCTCGGTGCCGCTAGGTTTTCTTCTAAAGTGTGCATTTGCTGTGACACATATGCTTTTTAATGTAAATACACCGAATATAATTGTCTGGACAAAAATTAGGTCAGTTTTGTCCTTAATCTAGCATCGGTAATATACCATAGCAACACTAAACCATCCAAGAAGCCAATATACCACCATTAAGCACAATTATACAATCATACTAACAGAATTGTTATAAAAAATATCTAGTCTGTTACGTGTTTACAACGTGATTTATTTTGCAACATTTAAAATATTACTATAAAAATGTCTGTTAAAGTTTAAATAATATGTTGCCCAAATTCTTTGATGTTATCGTTTTGTAGGGTGCAATATGATATCACAGTCCTTTCAGCTGACTCATAAACGTCTCTGTATGAATGGTGCAAAGTTTATGCGGAGGTATACGCACACACACGGCACAGTTTTAATTCAGAAACACAGTTTCCGTACAGAAAGAGCCGTGTGCATTTGTCATGTGCAAAGCACCCATTATTTACGCGCAAATTTCTCACGGAAAACTGAAATGACGCTGTCTTCATTGCTACGTGCAATTAAAAATTTTCTGGAGTGACGCCAGGATGCCTTCACTGCTGGAATTTATCGTCTCTCACATTTTAACCACTGAAAGATGCCGGATGAGTACACATCGTTTCATAATTAGGTGAAGTATGCATGTTCCAATAACACTGTACATGGGTGATGGGTGCAGTAACTGATGACAGAGTACCGAAAAAAATATACGTATAAAATCTTTCTAAAAAATAATTTCCAGAAAACCACGTACACTTGGATCCGACTATCTGACTTTCTCTGAAAATAGTACACAGGTTTTAGAGATATTCCAGTAACTCACACACCAAATCACACAAAGGTTTTTTTCATTTAAAACAAACAACAATCTCTAACCACTTAACCTTCCTACATGGGTCAGAGAGAAAGTGATAGGAACCCGGGTTTAACATTTTGTGCCAACAGTCTTCTGACTTAGTTTCTCACCATTCACATGTCAGTGCATTGTTTGACACATGAGACCATGTCTGAAAAGTCATCCCACACACAGCAGACAGATGCAAAAAGCCCTTTTTGTGTGGGTGTGTTTTAACTAAACATGAAGCCTGCTTATGTGTGAGAGACAAAGAGAAGGTGAAAGAAGCTCAGATGTGGGCGGTCAACTTTTAATATTCATATCTTCCTATCTTTCATTTATAAAGGAATTATTTAAAAACTTTGGAGCGCTATTTATATCCTTTTGTATCCTGTTCCTCCTTTGTTTTGGCCTTACGTGTTGAAATTTTCAACAGTAGGACACAGTTTTCCCTCGAGAATTCATAGCAGAAATACTGCACTGAATCACTGATGAATTCTTTTTGTACTTAGAGATTTAAAATGACCAGTTGCAGAATATGCAGAACACTAGATGATGAGTGGTTGTTAGGATTTTTTTAATTTGTTTTTTTACACACACTCACACACACCAGAGCTCCTCTAGCTACACTGCAGCAGTACACCCCCAGCAAATCTGACTCCTTATTCTGAATTCACAGGACCACTGAGGTTTTTATTTGATGCTTTTGCAGAAAATCTGACCCAAAAAAGTTGGACTAAATCATATTTACAGGGATGAAACATCTGTGTTTTCAGTGCTGGAAGGCCATGACTGTAGAAACAAGCATGCTATTATTTACAAAGCTAGGCTGTCTATTTACAGATGACAATTGACAAAACCTAAATGAATAAAATGTAATCTATGGGGTAATGGGATAGCAGAGAGGTTTGAGCAGGTAACCCATATGCTCAAAGACTAATGCAGGGGCCTGGATTCAATTCTGCCCTGGACTATTTCTTGCGTTACATTCCTCTGCTCTCCTTCTCCCACTTTTTCCTGTCTGCCCTGTCCAAAATAAAGGCTAAATGCCCCAAAATAAAGCTTTAAATATCTAATCTGCATTATTAGTTTCCTTTCAATATCATCAGCTGAATCGCTGCTAATAGTGTTCTATATACATTTTAACACTGAGCCTGGTTCTGCCGGAGGTTTCTTCCTGTTAAAAGGGAGTTTTTCCTTCCCACGATCGCCAAAGTGCTTGCTCATAGGGGCTCATATGATTATTGGGTTTTTCTCTGTATGTATTATTGTAGGGTCTAACTTACAATATAAAGTGCCTTGAGGCGACTGTTGTTGTTATTTGGTGCTAAATTTAAAAAAATGAAGTCAATAGAGGAATAAACTTTTTACAATGTGTGCTTTACTCATCACCAGCATACATTGTAAAAAATGTAACTCATGATGCAGAAAAAATATTCCATTACTTATTAGCTTACATACTGAGACCCCTTTCAGCCCTTCAAATCGTCCACACCCACAGCTTAAATAGTCCACATTTAACACCGAAAGTAACAGAAAAACAACACATTGTGGTTTAACGATATCAACTGCACCCAAGAGGACTCCTGTCCAGCCCTCACACCAAATGTGAAGAGTTCTCATGCCCTCCTACTCTAACATGAGCAGATCATTTTTATATGCAGGCAAAGCAGTAGCTAAAGTTAGCACAACAGATTGGAACACTCAACAAATATAAAAACTTCAAATTTCCAAAAGGCTCTGAGCTTGGCGAGTTCAGCTGCTCCACATTTGTATGCTATACCTCCACCAGTATCTCTTTAAAACAATAAACCAACTCCCATTGATCTGAAGCTGCAATTACAATAATAAACAGAGGTGAAAATAGTTATAACTACAAGATACCAGCTCATGAAAGTCTTTCCAAATATTATCTGATGCTTTATGGAATGAAAAATAAAGGATAGGATAAATAATCGACACATTAGCTGATTATAAACTTCTGAATTTTAAGTTTTAACTCCCCCACATTAAAAACACACTTAGTCATCCATCAGTAAAAATGTTATCCAAGATAATGAACCAAAGTTGGTGGCATTCACTATGCAGCTAAATGAGTCACTAAGCACAATCTACAGATCTGTACGATCAAAGTCTTTCACTGACCTTTCACAAACAAATTTTTTGCAAGCATAACAGTAATGCTCATCTTGTCAAACCTGTTTTGGTGGATAATACCATCACGGAGATCTAACCCGGTCTCCAAGAAATTTGTGAACTCGACCAGAGTTGGCCGGAGGTGTTTTTTTGTCAACGGCACAAACACCTTCCACTATAGTGTAGAATGGTGGATCCAAAGCAGATATCAGTGAAATGCTGAGCAAATCGAATGTACATAATAACAGCTATTTTAAGCCAAAAAGCAGAAAGGTGGGAATTCATCCTGATTTCACAGAAGTGAATGAGAGGCATCAGACATGATCCTTTCCATTGCTTTGCTTTGTAATCACAAGACTTACAGTAAACGTATCAACAATATTTCACTTTTAGCTCCCAGGCCAAATTTAAATATAATATTTTTGCTGTTAAAATAAGCCAGCCACAGGGGGACCTCAAGTCAGTGTATTCCTAGTATCGATCCCAAGCCTGGACAAATGGGGAGAGTTTTGTCAGGAAGGGCATCCAGGATCAAATCTTTGCCAAATCAAAGACCCCTAAAAAGAATAGCTGAAAGAAGAAGATGAGAGCTCATTTTTGAACCAGTACAGGTCGAGTATTGTGAAAATATCTAATCAAATGCAGAAGGCCCTTCTAATATTTCACTACAGAAAGCTACCAGTGGTTTGTAATAATTTCTTGGTCCATAGTTGAGTCAGAGGTGAAATAAACATGTAGGCAAAATGAATAAATTTGAAAAAGGCCTCAGAGTTTCTCCTTAAATTTAATTAGCTTCATTAAAATGTTCAAAAGTGCAGTAGTTAGCATTATCTCATCATTCCTTTTTTTAGTTTGTCAAGGTAGCACTAACATTTATCGACTCTATCATTTAACATTTATCACACCGTTTGTTAATCCTTGTTTGTGTTTTTCCCCAGAGTGTTTTTGTGATCTCTCTATGCCCTCCTTCTTCTCTCTTCTTTCCCCTTCACCCCCCAACAAGTTACAGCAGATGGCCGCCACTCCCTGAGCTTGGTTCTGCAAGAGGCCTCTTCCCGTTAAAAGAGCTCTTTTTTTCCCATTGTGGGCAAGTGCTTGCGCATATGGGAATCACCTGATTCCTGGGGATTCTCCTCAATCTTTAGGCTTGAGGTGACTATAGTTGTGAATTTCGCACTAAATAAATCTAACTGAACTGAAATCTAATAATTAAAAAATATTTTTAAGACTGTGTTTTTAAAGTGTATCTAATACTAATGCTTCCTTTCCATGAAGAGAGAACTGCTGAATGATTCATGTTACCAGTGACCTCTGTCTTGACCAAAAATGCAGCACATCCTTTTTTTCTGGAAGTTTGACTTTTAAAATGACACACAGTGCATGATGGTACTTGGGTATAGCCATCAGCATCTGAAAAAATATGTAATGTCTGGTTTCACTTGCATTTAGAACTATTTACTCAGAAAACTGTTAGTTGTAGATGGTAACAAGCAGTGGCTGACTGCCTACTGGGACATTTCCCCATAGCTCGAGGGTCATTTTGTCCCGCTGTGAACAGCGGTAATAAAACAAGCAGGAATGAGTCTCAGAACACACCAAGATAAACTCTGTGCTCTTGCCACAGTATCCACAGGACAAATACACCCATAAATACCTTCCAGTCAGTCCCATATATTTTCTATTTACTAATTGGAATAACATTCCTGGCATATGTACATAGTGGACAAATAAATTGCACCTCACTACTAAGGGTGTTGCTAACAAATGATTGTATTGTGAATAATCATTTTACCTCTAAATGAGTTACTGATAACTTTATAAACACACATAAAATCATAATTACTTCAGTAATGCTTCTATTGACCTACTTTCAAATAGTTATGGCAACTAACTTTTCTTGTTCACTCACGTGTTGAATTAAATGTTAATTAATTACCGACTGATTATTATTGTTTTGTTTTTCTCATTTTCTATAGATTCTGAAGCAATATAGCCAAACTGAATTTTTTTGTGAGCAATACCCGCCTCAATTTTGTTTGGTTGGTTGTTTTTGTGCTAACAGAGTGGCCCGGGATTAAGTAGAGTTTTCAGCCTTAATTACTGCTTCAAGTACATCTTTCCGCAGATGCACTTCTAGTATAAGATGAGAGGTTACAATGATATTTGTGCTGTTCTAAACAAAATACGCACTTAAGAGAACACATTGTTTTCAATAGTAAACCGATTCTGTGAGCAAACAGAGGCCTCCTGTAAAAATAGCATGTTGGCTGGTAAACAAAGCGGCTTCAAAAAGGAAGTGAGAGGTTTAATATCAGTGAGTGACTCAGGCAGCGGAGCACAGGGAAAATCCAGAATCAATACGTTTCAGTTCTCAGTATATGCTGTACTGTGGCATATTTACATTTATCTGAGGTTCCTATGCAGGTCACCGACTATGTTGACAATAGCAAAGTGGTTCCTAGAACTAAAGCCTTTCATGGCGATAACAGCACGCAATGATGAGCCACTGAGAATAAGCAAAGGTTAGGACTAATATTCAAGGGAATCTTTAACTTTCCACAACAAAACTTCAAAGAGTGCAGTGGTTCCAAACTTTCTGCTGCTAATGTTTTTGTTTGCACCTTAGCTCCCTACCTGCAGATTTGCTGCCAACATTATCTTCACGGAACTGTGGACTCAGAGAGCTGGTTTAGAGTTACAGAGGACTGAAGCCGAGAGTAGAAGTGATAGTGAATGCTGATCTATTTTTATAGCTCAATATATGGTACGTCAGCAAATACCCTTTGATTCATATTACTGTAGAGAAATGATCAGTACGTCAGCTAGTAACTAATATAATGAATTCCTTAATAAAAATGATACTATGGTGATGGGTAATGAACACTGAGGTAGTTACTGGTGGTTTGCATTTAGCTGTTAGTGATACACACATAAAACACTTATTTAACCTCCTAGGACCTGGCGTCCACATATGTGGACATCCCATTTTGGATTGTCAAGACCAAAATACTAACTTTTGCTCTACAATGGTCTGATATCCACTCACGAGGACATTATACTGCCACTGCTCTATCAAAATTTTAAACAAATAACTTCATATGTGGATCTCATTTTTCTCAGAAACAAAAAACTGGTAATTCTTTGTTTTTACATTCATCGGGTCCCAATATGCCCAAATATCAAAGAGAAATTAAAAGTGCATGCCATGGAAGAGTTCGGGTCTTAGGAGGTTAAGGAAAATAGAAGTGAAATAAGTATTGATTTTACTATGACAGCTATTTACTTTACCAGAATGAAGGTGCAGGTAATTGTTCCTACATTTATAGTGTTAGCTGAATAGGATGCAATTTGATTAAAAAAACAAACTCTGCAGTTCCTACATCATTGCTGGGTCCCAAGATTTCTTTTAGGTTTAATGGTCTGCACTTATAGACAAGTGGGTCATACAGGTGCCGTGTATCAGTTAGGACGGTGTAAGGGCTTTGAAATACTAAAAAACGTTGACACCCACTATTCAAATGATACAGATATCATAGTGCTACAACCGAATGAACCCAACGTAAACACAGCCGTAGTGAAAATGGTACTATGGTACTCTGACAAACAAAACTAGATCATGCTGCTATAATCAGTATCAGTACAGCCAGCCTGAAGTATACCACTGAAAACTTGAAACTGCAAGAGTGTCATGTAGATGTTTGTTATATTGTGAACAGGAGTTAAAATCCAGACATGAAAAGATAACTATCTGAGAGTGTCATTTGAATTTCAGTTTCAAGAGGCTGAACTTGTCCAAAGACACACCTATACAGATTACACAATAAAGGCTTGGAAACAGATAATATTGTATGTGAATTTTTTATATCCTTCATATAGTCATTTTTTAAAAACAAGTGGCAGTTGTGCAGACTACTTCATCAAAGTGAAAGAACATTTGACTTATTCATAATAACTGGCAAAGTCAATTTCAGCCAGCTGAAATTGGCAATAGCTGAATAGATATCATTGTTTAATATATCAACACAGGCCTTTGTCATAGTGTTTACCTCAGGATGTGAAGTGTTGATGCCTTAAGACTCAGCGATCTGCGGCATATTTTGGTCATAAAATGTTGATATAAAAATAAAAATCTTTATTTTATCACACACAAAACTTTCAAAGCCCTCACAAAGAGCATCTAAACAAGGTCTTCATATAAAATGCTGACAGCCAGCATCCTTGCATATTATAGGAAATACAATATCAAAAAAGTGTTGAAAATGCCATTTTCAAAATATTGTGTAAGTCTTGTGTTTTGTTGACACAGATACAATTTCCTCCTCATCAGCCTCATCAAATCCCTCCTCTTGCAACAAAATGTATATGAAAAGTAAAGGCAGAAATCTGAAATACGTTTCTAATTCAAAGGTATTTGCGAGATAGTCTTGCATGTGCAGTTAAGAGGACCTTGCCTCTGCAGGACCCAAATAGAACAAAAAGAAATAAAAAAATCATAATAAAAACCACACATACACAACATGAAGTAACTTTAAAGAGCTATAAAAAACACGAGTTTGATAGTTAAAAAAAAAAGACTCAACAACATGGTGGTGAAGCTAAAAACAATTCTCTCTTAGTTCCTGAAAAGTTCTGGCAGATGTGAAGCCTTTGTTTGACGTCAGCATCTCTTAAGTAGATCTTACAGTAAGAGACCGAGTCTTTACATAAAGCGACTCTAGTGATTATCTAAAACAAAACATGAAATCTTCTCATGGCCCTCAAACAACGATAAACAGTCTCTGATTTGAATGTTTAAATGTCAGCTGGGCCAAATGATGAGCAGCGAGAAGAGGGAACAAACCCTTTCACACGTCCACGTGCATGCAAATATATACGTGCACTCTGCAGCCCACACACGCAGGCCACTGTACACATTGAAACTGCTAATACTCACACATGCATTAATACTCACACAGAGTAAAGGATCAACTGACCTAAAAGATGTGTAAGTAAGCTGACCCCAGACCTCATGGACAGTCCTGCATGACAAAGAGACAAATTAAAATTAGTCAGGAAGTAATGTTGAACCACCAGATCCTGCTACAAGAGCTTCAATGGATTTACCAACTATTTGGAACTCTACTGGAGGGCTGAACATCATTTTTCCAACCTATTGCCTTATTTGATGTTTTTATGATGTTGTTCAGTCCGAAAATCTTACCCAGTTGTTCAAATGAAGGCCAAACCATATGATTCAAATCTATTGCTGAAACCATTCAGTGACCCCCTAGAGGCCTATGAGTTGGAGTATAATGGGAAAGATCGCACCCATCAGGCTTTGATAATTTCAGTTGATAGGGCTGTGCAATACAGCAGCTTTAAATCTGACTGTAGAGGGAGTAATGTGGTTCACAGCATTTTTGACACTATATCTATATATCTATCGATATATCGATAGATATATAAGAATCTTCATTTGACACGTGTTACAGACTGATAATCCTTTAACAGCATTGAAAGTCTAATAAAAATATTATTTTGTTGCCAGGTGTACTGACACAGTTTGTAATGTTAAGAACTGTGTCCAAATCCACTGATTTTAGTGTGTTTGTTGTCTCCATTACTTTCTGCAGGCTTTTCTATTAAAATATTATTAATCCTTATCTGCAAAAAGCCAGAAGTAACACATGTTATCATTATATTTTCCTAAAATCATGTACTCTAGAAACTTATGGATGATAGCAAGTGCCACATATAAACACACACGGACAAAAACATGGGCACCTAACATAACAAAAAGAAACTGTTGTATGTCCACATAGACCACAGTATAATTATTATTAGTATACTTGCTTACTATACTGTACATGCAAACATATTGAGAAAGCTACAAAACCTGTTAAATTAACACAAACACAGCTGCTCTACAATCAGCCAACATACACATTCACAAATGCATATACACAGAAAGCCTACTATTGTCTGCTGTTCTTGCTGTTATGATTTTCATTTTTATAATGACAGTTTGTAAAAAGTACACACACACACACACACACACACACACACACACACACACACACACACACACACACACACACACTTGCAACAGCACATCAATGTCTTAGGTATAGCAGGAGTACTAATTTTACATAAGTTGTAATGTACGCACATGTAGTGCACATATAGACAGACATGATAATATGCGCACACCATATGTGTAGGCTAAAAATATAAACACTGAAAAAATCTGAAGCACATGCTTAGAGCGACACACAGTGGCATATTAACATAGATAACTGCCTTTATATGAAGGCACATGCATACTTAGAAACACATATAGATGTATGTGCTTCTAAGTATGTCGTACAACAAATATGCACAAATACTGCACGTAGCTTTACAATGGCACAAAACAAAAATGTGTGGATGCACTCACACACCCTTCAGTATTATATGTGCACTGAGCAATGAAAACAGACAAACATGCAGAAAATAGAAAAAAAATATATGCACACAGCTATGCACACACTATGTTGACATAAACAAAAACAACTACACATGCTGTCAGAAATAAAACTACATATTTGCCCAGTCACGGTGCAAATATGTAGTTTTATACAATATGTAGTTAGAAATAATTAGCACAGACTTTAAGTGCATTCAATTACAACAATTACTTCACACACAGATGCAAATGTATATTAATCTTGGCAAGGACAGATACTAAGAGACATAAAAAGACAAAAGAATTAGAGAAATTACTGTGTATACAAAACAAAACACACACACTGTATTTAAAAAGTCATAATAAATACCAGAGAGCTGGTGTACACTAATTCAGAGACCCCAGTCCCATCCCCCACCCTCCACAAAAAAACAAAAAAAACAAACAAAAAAGAAAAAACCAGCCACAAACACACAAACAGTATAAACACAGATCTGCAGATATATTAACAAAGGAGGAGTGTACTGTGCACATACACGTAAATATTCACTGCTAATGTATACGACCTCAGATATGCACTAATCGGTGTATGTCTACCGATCATGTGTGCACAGAGATCAATACATATGGTAGCTGTGCAAACAGACACACACACTCACACACACAACACATACACGGAACAAATTAGCGACTGATTAGTCAAACAGTTACTGATGGCAACAAAGTGATGCCACCCACGGACACTGAGCATGCAACACTGCTTGTCTGAAACCATAAACATGTTTATATTTACTTATTGTCTCATTTTAGACCAGAGAAACTTTTCATACAGACTCTGACATTTAATATCTTAAACTAACCACTGTGTGGGAGCACTATAAGAAAACTCCCTGCAGCAAACTCTGCAGCAAATGATTAAGGTTATAATTAAGATAAGAGATTAAAGTCAGCAAAAGGAACAACTAACTCACCAGCTGTCAGAAGTAATCAACAACCTGACAGTTGTCAAATTTTTTTTTTTCATCTTAAAAACTACATCACAATACTGAAGGATACAATTTAAGCACAAAAGGGTTATATGGAAAAGGTGGATATTTATGATAAATATAAAACAAATTTTCATAAAACGATTATAATGTTTTTTTCTGCATTTGAGTAATCAGCACAGGCAAATATAACCAGCACGAGCAGTCAATTCAAACTTAAACTACTCTAGAGGGACAAAGAAATTCTGAATTGTTGTTCCAATGAAACTGCAGTTAACAACTGGGTCGCTAGTAAAATTAAATATGATCAAAATTGTATGTACAGAACGTGCCATAAAACGGTCTCATTTTGAAACTACTTGTCTCAGTCATAAACCAGAAAGAAATAATCAGACATGGGTGACATGAGATGTGTAATAAAAAATATATTTAAAAATGGGGAAAAACACAAAGAGAAAGGTGAAAAATAGTGAGTCAAACTGACTCTGGCACGAGTCATAATTCTGCTGGATCATCACCAGCAGGATTTTTACTGATCTGATTGTCAACAGTCCAAAAAAAAAAAGAAGAAGCTAAACACAACTGACAATATTCAGCCTCCCTCATTTTCACTCTTTTTTTTCCTTTTTCTCTTCTTTTTTTAAGCATGCATTTGTTGTTGCTGAAAAGGTTAAAAGATTTTTTTTTTGTTTCCAGTCGAAACTGAGTGGGCAGGCAGCGAACCGAACATTCACAAGGCAAATTTCCCCTGATGCTCTGGTAATATTATCACTCCAAAGCATCATAGTTTCAGAATGACTTATGGATTTATTTATAAGAAGAAAACAAGTGTGACACCAATTAACTCACAATCAGTCACAGGTTACGGCTCACATGTTAGTTTTGACCATTTTGAAACTGACATAGATATACTCGAAAAACATATTCGACATAAATAAAAGGTCACGTTAGTGTCTCAATATCTGCTTCACTTTCAATATGACCTATCATTTTAGAGATACGAGTGTGGCAGTGCTCATATTGTATAATTTATATTGTTCAATTTGTTCATAACCAATGATTTAAATGTCAAAACTGGAATTTAATAGTTACATAAACACTCGATAAAATACTGACTGTTTCAGCACATGAACCCTTTGTTTCCTAGTGACAGATGAAACATCCCTCAGTGGAGGCACACTTTCATAAATGTAGTTTGGACCTAACAAAAAAAAAGAACCGTTTGCCAACATTTAACACCACTCCACCCACAGTTCAAGAGTTTATATGTCACCTTTAAAGAATCATCGATCAAAGTAATCTCATTCTGATTCAGAGTTTCACTATTACTGGTCGTTTTATTTATTAAAAAACACAAACATGAAGCAAATAAACCACACGCTGTGCTCACGTCCAGATTTATATAATTACTTAGCATACTCTTGTACAACAACATTGACAATTTAACTTGCTTTTCACACTCAGGGACACGGAGTAGCATTCAGGGGCCTATGACAAAAAGAGCAGCCAGCCTTCGACTACAATTTTCTAGCGTCAGACTAAAACCGTGAACACACAGTCAAATCAGATTTGAGGTGGACAATTTTTCCCCAGACAACAGAGACCAAGTTTGCCTTCGTGCGATGTAAATAGCTATTGCTGGAGACGATCATCCCCCCGACCTATTTCACAAAAGACACCTGATAAACATGACATAATCCAGCATGACTACGTCGCCTAAAAATATAAAGGAGAGACAGACCAGCTTTACGCTGCATCATTTACTATCAAAATTAGTCAGAGAGCAAAAGAGAAGACGTTGAGGCTAAGCTTTGAAGCGATCAGGCGCGGTGTGTGTTTCAAAAACTCAAAAGGAAGCTGCGAGGATGAGACAACAGTCGCTGAAATCTGCTTTTCCTCTCTCTCTCTGTCGCAGATGTTTTGAAAGAGGGGAAAAGTATACGAGAAAAAAAATACAAAAAAGAAGCAGAAAGGGAGTTGTGACCAAAATAAAGAGCTTCCATAAATAAGAGCAATCTAATAATTTCTGCCTTTAAATAAACAAATTAAATTTAGCAAAAATGCATTTTTGCCTCTAGGAACTTTACTTCCCTACATTCGAGTGTCACTGATATTTTAGCCTGCCATGATACACAGAAAAAAAAGAGAAACAAAAACGAAAGTAAAAAAGACTGGTGACTTAACAATTTGAAACAGGTAAAATTATATTCAAAAGAAATGTGGGAAGCTTTTGATCTATCTATTAAAGAAAAAAAAAGGTTTGTCATAAATTCTGCAACACATTTACTAGTCATACTTTACATTTCACTATGAAGCATTAGTTTCTAAAACGTGGGTTCAGTCTGAATCATGTCACCTTTAATGCCTCACCGATCAAAGTAGTTCTCTTTTTGATTCAGTTTCACTGCAGGCGGAGGAAAAGAGAAAAATCTACTTTTCACCCTTTGGTGTGCAAAGAGTGTTTGCACACATCATGTTTCTTTAAACCAGAAACATGAGAAAAGTGAAAGAAAATAAAACGGTATGAAAGAGGGAAAAAAAACAAGAAAAAAGTAACACAGAAAGACACGTGGGTTACATTGTGGTGCGTGTATACCTATCTCTCAGT